GTAAACCAGAGGCAGCAATAAGAACTTGGTGAGATTTCATACTTGTATATCCTACAGCTCTTCCCCCATCTCACTCACTCACTCACACACATACACACACACAACCTCCTTTTGTTTTCCTGAGAGAGATAACAGAACTTTTCAAGCAAAAAAGGGCCTGTGTCCATGTTTCCAGGTCAGTAAGATAGAGAGCCAGAAAGACTGACATAATAGATAGATGGTGGCAGCTTTGAAGAGAAAGGAGCAGGCTATCTCACTGGGACTTTACCAAATTAGAATGGAGTAGCAGTGGGGAAGTAAGCTGAAACAGCATAGGAAGCTTTAATTTGGAAGTAATAAATTGGTCTCGGGCATTGGCTCCTGAATAGGGCAGATGACAGTATCTCCTTAGCTTTAACTTATTTGATATTTTTCCTCTGTTCCTATTTTCCTATCCTTGTTCTCTTAAGTTTGAAGTCTTACATTATCATTAGATTTGCTTAATAGCTATTTGAAAAATCTGTAGGTGTATGAATATGAAGCTTTAATACCAAAAACCTCACTTTCTATTAAATAATTTTATGTACCATAGATTTCATTGCCACTTGTGATCTTCTATTTCATGTTTCATTCATATGTCTAGTTGTTTTGTGTGTGTCTTGCCAAATAGTCATGAGTTTCTAGTAAGAGGTGCTTTTCTGGAAAATTGTCTTGCAAAGAGGCTGCTAGGTAGTAACAGTTTTGTACTTACTGAATTATTAACTAAAAATGTGACTCTAAACCATAGGAAATTAAAATCTGAAAGGCCATAAACTTTGCTATTCAAAAATACGTAGATCTTTCACTTTCACGGGTTTTCTGTTATTTGGTAGGTTCTCTAGGCTCTCTTCACTTTTTAAATCTTATCTTGTGTACCCTAAGTTTCTCAACTGCCTCTCTTTTATACTTCCATTACCATTTCAGTAGACTTGTTTTATCTCATGCTCACATGTCTTTCATCCTCCAATAATAAACTATGAAAACATTGAAGGTAGAAGATAATTTGTCTTCAGCATCAAGTCTGCTGCATGTAGTAGGTGGTCAGTGATTGAATGACAAGTACCATTATGATTGCAGGGTGACAGGTAAGAAAAGTAATGCTTTATACAATGTAGGAAGCTCAATTAGGAATTGCTAGAAAAGCTTTTTAAGATGAGTGTTAACCATAGAAGTTAGGGGGCACTGTGTGGGTAGTCTGGCTAAATAAGTAAAGAGAAATTTTTAGAATTTGCTGCCTGTGTTGTAGATGGCAAGGCAGGCAGTAGAAAAGTGATAGGCTAAAGAGTTTGGAATACTTTCAGTATCCAGCAATATGGTTAGGTATTTTTTCCAAAACCAAAGAAAGCATAGAACATGCATTTTAAAAGTCACACATCCCTTGGCTAAAAACCAATTCTAACCACTTCCTAGCTCAAAACATCAATTTAGTCTTATTTATTTCAATGCGCTGTTGTAAAGTACGTAGCATAGAATATCCCTTAAATGTTAGTACTCCTCCAACCCCCTACTCTGACTCCAATCTTTTAGGGTAAAGTGAAAGGGAACATTAACTTCATCTTACTGAATGCCTTTTAGGTGTCAGGTGCTACTGAAAACAAGACATATATCTTTGTATGATTGTCTTCAAGTTATTTACTTGAAGACTGGTGGAGAAGTCTAACATAGAAGTGATTGTAAGATAGAACCACCTTATCTGTTGTGCTAGAGAGTTAAGTATTAGGTATTGTGGGAGCCCCAAAGAAGAATCATTTACATTAGACTATTCAGAAGCTCTTCCCTGTTATATTTTTTGAAGGAAATTTCTGTACTATCTCATGCAAAATCACAAAATCCATTTAGCAAAATCTAGATATATCCTTAAGTGTTGACCAAATTCAAAAGACTTTAGAATAAAAATCTGTATGTAAAACATTTTAAAAGGTTTTTGTTTTATGGAGCTCTAAGGGATAAATGTGGTATCCTATTATTCCGTATCCCTGTTAAGTCATGTTAGCACACACCAGAATTGTTGGACAGCACACACAAAGTTACTCTTTTTTTCTTACCACTCAGGAATCTGTTTGAACATGGATCAGTATATATTGGACTTAATGCTGCTCTCTGTGGTCTAATAGCAAATAGTCTTTTTCGACGCATCTTAAATGTGACACAGGCTCGTATAGCTGCTGGCTTACCAATGGCAGTGATCCCGTTTTTGACTGCGCATGCATCTTACAAAGGTTTTGTAAATTTACCTTTGAATACAGGTAAATTCAATTTTACTAGCACCAGAGTTTGCTTTGGCATATATTATTTTCACCTTACATTAATCCTTAAATATTAACATCAGGTTAATATGCTGTATCATAGTCAGTGTGTGGATAAGACTGAAACTTACTAACCTGTGTAAAGTAGTTCATATTAGCAAGTTAGTCTTCTATACAAGTGAAATGCACATTCATACCAGTTCTAAATACTTTAGTTAAAGTAAGAAATATTTGCAACTTTTTTAAATGCTGCCTTAGTTTTCAAAAAAATTTTATAGAGAAGTCCCTTAAAGGGAAAAAAACCTAAAGGGAGTAAGACCCTTTATATATTAAATCTCCCAAAGCACTAAATGTATGTACAAGAATTACAAATATATGGAGACTTCATTTCCTTTTGATTGTTTACTGTGTGAGCTCAGTGCTTTCAGTATAAGCATACCCTGGAGATACTCCAGGTTAGCCACACTACTGTAATAAAGTGAATGTTTTAGCAAAATCCATACAATTTTTTTGGTTTCCCGGTGCATATAAAAGTTATGTTTACAATATGCTATAGTCTGTTTAAAGTGTGCAATATGTCTAAAAAAAACCATTTAAAACAGTCTGTCTAAAAAAAAAAAGTATGTACCTTAAAAATACTGCTAACCATCATTTGAGCTTTGAGCGAGTAGTAATCACCAACTACAGATCACCATAACAGATATAACAATAATGAAAAAGTTTGAAACGTTATGAGAATTACCAAAATATGACACAGACACATTAAGTGGGAAAATGCTGCTGGGAAGATGGTGCCTAAAAACTTACTCAAAACAGGGTTGCCACAAACCTTCAATTAAAAAAAATGAATTATCCGCAAAGCACAGTAAAATGCAGCACAGTAAAACAAAGTATGCCTGTATGGCTAATCATGAAAAAAAAATTGATTTCAAATAAAAATATTACCACAGTTGGTGATGGGATGGAAGGGAGACAGTCCACTTAAACTCTCTTAAGTGCTGCTCCAAGTTGGTTTAAATTGGATGTTTATTTTGCATGAGTCTGTATGATCAGTGTAGAAAGAATTTTTAGGATCTAGGGAAACCTACCACCCAAGTGAACTGAACAGACTGAGTAAAACTTAAGTTATTAACTTAGCTTTCTATTTTTAATGTAGCTTCTATTAATTTGGAAATGAATAAAGAATTTTATAAAAATAGCCACACTATTATAATGTAAAAATAGAAGATGAAGTACAAGTCATTTTTTAAAATTGGGTTAAGTTTCCTGAAGACAGAATATTAGCTCAGGTTTGCCAGTACAAGTGCAGAAAGCAGAAGCAGTGCAAACCAAGATTATTATATTCAAACTCAGAACAAATTAGAGGACTTTTCCTAAGATTGTTTTGAGTTTTTCCTGGCTAGTTTATCTGTACATATATACTTTCTAACGTGCCTTGTAGATTTGTATTTGCTGCCTAAATATTGAGTATTTGTGACACATTTAAGATAACTTTGCATCCTTTAAATCATGACCTTCATTTTCAGAATTGATTTATTTCCTAGGTGATCTGAATTGTGAAACCTGTACCATAACACGGGGTGGATTAGTTGGTCTTGTTTTTGGTGGTCTGTACCCTATTTTCTTGTCTATACCTGTGAATGGTGCCCTGGCAGCCAGGTAGGATTCTTTTTTTTCTCAGAATCATTGAAAAACTTCAGTAATATATAAGTGATAACATAGAAAATGTACAAATTAAAACAGCAGATACATTTTTTGCTTTTAAAGCAGTGTTACTTTTTTGATTTGAAAGAGTTAACTTTTTCTCTTATAAATAATCAAATATTACTTCTCAAGAATTTGAAAACAGTTCTAGAAATTGATCTCACTATACCTCTTGGGTATATAGTTTAGGTTCTTAACCTTAATTTGTGTATTGAATCCCAGCTACAAAGCTGCAAACAGTACTCTGTCCAGCATGATAGCTAATTAAAGAAAAATTCCATCACAAAATGGCTATAAGACAATATAATGCAGTTATTTTCTGATGAACTCATCAGAACCCCCATCAAGCAATCTAAGCTATATGAGCCTTCAGAGGTGAAGTGGAGAAAGGGCCAAAACACACAAATGTATAGTTTTAAGGACTAATAGACATCAAAGAGAGAAAGTGAATTACCGTAATCTTTAAACTAGTTTTATCTTAAAGACTTCTGGGATTAATATATATTGTACATAGGCTTGCCATTTCATACAACTGCCTTTCTACAGAATTGTCTCAATGTTTTCTTACAGGTATGAGTCAGCCCTGCTACCAGAAAAAGGAAACATCTTAACTTACTGGACTAGAATTTCTAAGCCTGTCTTTAGAAAGATGTTATTTCCCATTTTGCTCCAGACTGTGTTTGCAGCATACCTTGGATCTAGACAATATAAATTAGTTATAAAGGCTCTTCAGTTACCTGAACCTGGCCTAGAAATTCAGTGATTGTTAAACAACTTTGTATACAGAAATAAAGCTGTAATGTATGAATAAATGTCTAGTGTATGAATAAATACACATTGTAATTTATCATGAGTTACAGTTCTGGGACCTAAAATATGAGGCTACACAAGTCAACAAAAGGCTGAATATCAGTAAGGGCCATCCCCTTAAAAGTGTAACTTCTCTAGTTTGCCCAATATTCTCTTTTACTATGCTTGTTCCACTCCTTTACATTAAGCATATTTTAGTCCTTAACACAGGAAAAATGGTCTTATAGCAGTTTTAACTGAAGGCCTCATAAATACAAGCAGGAATGAAAATGGGAGGCAGGGATGAGAGTCAGTTTACTATTGCAAATGTTACTCACACTTCATTTTCCCAATTCACTTTTTTCATGGTATTATTAATCCATAGGCGTTCAGAACATACTTAACAAGCTTCCTCCCAGAGAAATCAATTCTAATAGTCTTGAAAGATGGTAGGCTCAGCTGGAGCTGATATGTTGATATTGCTGATACAGTGACAGAATGATAGAGTTAACGATTTAAAGAGTCAACTTATTTATCTTTGGAAAGCTATATTCTTGGAAGATAAGGCAAAGTCTACCTCTGAAGATTCCATCTAGTATAGGATGATAATTCTTTGGGGTCACAGACCCAGACCGTTTTTGTTTTTTTTTTTTAAAGCTGTGTGATGTTAATTAAGCAACTTAACCTCTCTGGTCCTCAGTTTCTTCAGTAACCTCACTCAAGATTGGTATTGTGTAAAAATGGAAGTTGACTACCCCAGCACCTGACATAAACAGTAGCACTTAAATGAAACATTCTTCCTATTGTTCCTGGTTTTGTTTTCTGAAATAGTCTAGTCTAATATTTGTCATTTCCTAAGAAAGATCATTTAAATTTTTGAAGTGACCTATTATATTCCTCTTCCTAAAACTTTTCATCTCAATTCTTTAAACTATTTCCTTAAGTTACAGCATCTAAATCAGCATAGTCCAGAAGTTTTGCGTGATAAGAAATGTTTTATACGTGACTGACAATGTTAGCTACTAGCCTTATGTGGCTCACTGAGCATCTGAGATGTAACTAGTGCAACTGGATAACTGAATTTTTAATTAAAGTTTTTAGCCACATGTGAGTAACAGCTACAGTATTGGACAGTGTGGGTCTAGACTAACACTTTCTTATAAAACAAGCCAATCTTACCAAATAAAGTAAGTGCCATCCTAGATCACACTCACAAGCATCCTAATTATTCCTTTGAAATATAGTGACCTGTTAAACAATCTTATGAGTACTTAACTACATGAAAGGAGAATTTAACTTAGCTTTTCACCTAGAAAATGAAGCCTCATGAGTCAAATAAGCTTTCAGGGTCTCTTTAAAAATGAGAAAGCAGTGCAGCTAAAAAGTTTTAAATTCAAATGAAATTAACAAAATCCATTTTAAATATTTCAGAAAGCAAAGATGATGTTCTTTCAACAAGTAGCTTAAAATGTTTTCCCTAACAAATTTATATATATGGAATGATCCCAATTACGAAGCAGAAGAATCTGTATTTGACTGTAAATATTCTCGGAGTTAGAGAATTAGGGGTGGTTTTTCTTTTTGACTCCTTTCTGGATTTTCTCAGTTTTCTACAATGAATATGCTTTACTTAAAAGCTCTCTGACCCTTGGGTGCCTGGGTGGCTCAGTTGGTTAAGCATCCAACTTCAGCTCAGGTCATGATCTCACTGTTCATGGGTTTGAGCCCTATGTCAGGATCTGTGCTGACAGCTCAGAGCCTGGAACCTGCTTCAGATTCTGTGTTTCCCTCTCTCTCTGCCCCCTGCCCAACTCATGCTTTGTCTCTCCTTCAAAAAATGAATGAACAGGAAGAAAAAAATTTAAAGTTCTCTGACCCAAAATTATACACTTGACATTTTTATTTAAAGGAGACTGCTACTTATCACAGCAAAGGAAAAAAATGAATTAAAACTCCTGACTTCAAAAATAAGAAATCCATTACTAAATTAGACTCCTTTAAAAAAGAGAATGGCACAATCAATTTGGATAATTCAAAAGCCTCTGATATAACTAAATTGGTAACTCAGTACAAATTGTTACCTTGTGCTAAAACACTCCTACCATAATACCATCTATAAATACAAAAGTTTACAATGCTATGTGTAACCAAAAAGGATTCCTTTCTAACATCTCTGTGCTCTACCATATATATATTTAGATCATCTTCTCAGTTAGCAAAAATGGACAATATAAGCAAGAGACCATGTTATTTTACATCTGTTGCTACAAATCTACTTTACCAAAACATGGCTGGGGGCAGATAAATGACATGTAAACTTGCTGTGGTCTTCATTATAATTTAGAGAAAGTCATTTGTAGCTAAGACCTAAACAACACTACCTGAGTCAGAAAAAGTTTTTAATAGTTCAGTTCAGTCATAGTAAACCAGCTATTTAAATCTGTCTTTTACAACTTACTTGGCATAACTGGCTTTAAGAAAGAGAGGACTCATTACATTGTACTTAAGATATTAATGCTGTAAACACCAAACTATAGAAGATTTAAAGGCCAGAGGGTCTAGGAATTTGACCACAGTGGTTATCCGGCAAAGATACAGCATTTGGAGGCACAGTGTAAAGAAAAGTTGGGCCACCAATAAAAGTCAAACTATGCATGTTAACCCAACTACACAATTTTTCAAAACACCATTAGTGACTATATTTTTAAATTAGATTGATAATTAAGCATTATAATTTTCAACAAAAATAATTTTGGGTCAACAAAACTACAAAACTTATCAAAGCCCATTGTAAACTGGTTTCTTTTTAAAACTTGGGGGAAATGGCTCTCTAAGTAAGAAATCTTAGATGTACAAATTGGGGAAGGGTAAAAAAGTAAGAATAAAAACACTTAACAGTAATCAAAGCAATGGAAAAGGCAAATTCATGAGCAACATTCTATTAACTAACCTACATATTTTTTTAAAAAATCAATTCTTCCCTGATATTGCATGATTTATATTCCTAAAGACAGTTACTTTCTGAATAAAATTTAAATTATCTCATTTAATTTTTCTTCATTTCAAAACTAACTAAAGTAAATGAGCATCTGTAGTGTAGATCAGAGCTGAGAGCTATCTAGTATTTTAAGACAATAGCGAGTGACTGCCAGAGAGAGGACTGAGGTATTCAAGTTCAAATATGTGAAAAATACTATGCTGGCCACACGAAACATTCCACAAGTTTCTAATGGAAGATCTCCCTTTTTTGATCCCTACCTTAGATGGTAAACTACCTCGTTTCTGGGAAAAAAAAATGCACAATAAAATACAGAAATAAAAACATTTGGGAGCGTCTCTACACTTTGTATTAATAAGAATCTGGGGGGTGGGGGAGAAACTAAACAGAAGTATTTCACTATCTATTCAACTTTCAAGAACATCAGATTATGTAACTTAAAACTCTGCCTAAATTAGTAAGACCTTAAACTAGAACTTCAAAATGCAAAACTAGGTAATCGCATATTTTTAAAGGTAATTAGTCATTATCAGTGAATTATCCACTCTGTTCTATCAAAGGAGTAATTAGTCATCACCAACCAGTGTTAATGCCAAATCTTTGGTTGTAGAAATACAACCAGGTATACTGTTGGAACTGTAGGGATATCCATCAGTCAAGTATAAGCTGCTAGGCATGCTCTTTGCTGCCTGGAATCACAGGCACTGAATATACTTAGATTACAAGAAACACAGTGGATTTAATAAATTTTGTATAGTATCATACAATAACTATAGTTATTATGATAATTCATTCTGGGCCTATCTCCTACCCCTCCCACCTCTCTGATCTACACACTTCCCAATGAGTCAGTAATATAAAATGACTCAGTCTAGACCAGATTAAATAATGTATTAACATTAATCCAACGAAATGAAATAAAACAATCCAGAGTTTTGAGTGTTTTTTCACACTTGTAATAAACTGGAAAAATGTTTCAATTAAGTAAAACAATCACATTCCACGTAAAAAAACCACTCCCATCATCCAGAATACTAAAGCCCTTACATAACACTAGAGAAATTTTAATATCTAACAGTAGAAACTAGGATACCATTCGTTAGAAACCTCAAAATATTCAAGAAGTGTCAAGTACTCAGAAAATTCAAGAAGCCAAAACCTCAGAATCCAAACATCCTATTACCCTGAATTGCAATTAACTACTCACATATTTAATCATAGTCAATTTTTTCAAAGATACACAAGACAAATCAACACATCTACTTAAAAAGACTACTCCTTACAGGTAAGAACTTTACATTAACTTTTATATTCTACTCAGCAAGGTCTGCCTATACTTCAGATTAGCTCTCAAGTTCCAGGAAATAAATACAAACTCATGATATGCTTTGTGATCTCTGATGGCCTGTTTATGTAATTCTATTCCACTAAGTTTAATTCTACAGAATGTGTTCTTGATTGTGTAAAGAATCTATTATTCCTTGATGAAATACTATAATTCTCTTCTCCAATGGTTACAATTTTTAAAAGGTATGCAAAGAACTGAGTATCACTCCCATGAAAGACAAAAAAAAGTATGATTTTGTTCCAAAATTAACTTAGTCTCATGTATTTCTATTAAGTCTTTCAAGGATTCCAGAGAATCTTTTCAAATCTCCATTTCTGGAAAGTGAAATCTGGAAAGTGAAATCAGTACAGAAGTAATTTGGGAACTTGAAAATGGCATTCATTTTTTTCAGCAGATGCCAAATTTTTGACCGACATGGCTCCCACAATTACTTTGTTACCATCAGTCCAGTCAGTTAACAGGTTGTAGGAAAAGATTCGTTTTTGCAGACACTGCTAAGCTGTTTAAAGAGAAGAGAGAGAGATTAATTTAGTGATTACAAAATGCACAAGTATTTAAAATATTTGTAACACTTTTTGTTGGATTGTATCAGAGGTGTGACTACATTTTAACAAACGTGGACTTTTTAGTTAGGACTGGTCAAGAAAGTGCAGAAACAGTAAGTCAGTATGACAGAAAAAGAAGGTCAATATGATGTGTTAGTTCAATTAATGTATGAATTCCTGTCACCATCAGAAGTCAAATATTAAAAAGCTACCTCTTTACTCTAATTCTGCATCATTTTGCCATAGAGGCGATTAGTGGGGAAAAAAAAGTTCCCCAAATATTAAGTTGTTTTCAATCACTAAATAGAGCCAAACCTTAAAATTTCAAAACAATCCATATTATATTCCGGAAATCTCCTTTATCCAACTACTAATCATTCAGAACACAATTTTCTAAAAATAGTAAGACAACAATTTCATATTAATCACAACTTTTTTTAATTAACAAGTAGTGAATAGGACACTTTAAGATATTGTTTACTACATACTGAAATAAACAGATCTGTTGTAAATTCAGAAACCCAAACATTTACAGTAAAATGCGCTTACACATAAATATGACCAAACTTATTTAAAGTCCCTGTTAGATAGGTCCTAAATACATGCAATACCATGTAAAAACAAGACCATGAAGTTGATGTAAAAAATGACAAAATCACTAAGTCATCAAAATTAGGAAAAAAAAAAAAAGAATGAAATGGAAACTAAGAAAAGACAGTTAAAACATAAGGAACCTAAATAAGCAGCTTTAAAAATAGGCGATACTAATCTCCATTCTCAAAAGTTCTTAATCAAGTATTTCCAAAAACTGCCATTTATAAAATGACATTCTAAAAATCTACACTTGGAATTTTCAAAGCATCCCAATTCAGAAAGCTTTGACTACTGTTTCTCCCCAGCCCGAAACTTCAAATAATGCAGGAAAAGCACTGACATTAGGAAGAAAATATTCCAAGGGAATGGTATTTTAGAAAAACACACTTACTGCTTCCAGAACCTTTTAAGACCCAAAGTCAGCATTAACAACAATCATTTTTCCTATTTTCATCCATTATTTTCCAATGTCATGTTAGAGATGAATAAATTCTTTGAGCCCATAACTGAAAGATCAACAAACCTGGTTTTATTATGACACCATTATTTTTGTCATTGGTACTGCACAAAATTATATACAAAGAAATATATACAAAATGTTCAAGTATTAATTAAATTTCAGTTCAAGGCTTCTGTTTCAAAAAGCTACATTTAACATATTCCATAATAGCACAAATTAGTCATTTCAAATAATTTTTCCAACTACTTTTGGTTTATATGTATATATATATATATATATATATATATAATTCAGTAGGCACTAAAATCCATGCAGCTGCATTGTGAGGGGCTTGCTCCTGCACTTAGGTATAAGCAGGTTCATCACTCCAGGTTGTGAATTTGACTACTACCCATTCATGCTCAAGTGCAGTAGATGATTTTACAAAATATGCTGTAATGCACTGGAAACCAGAGACCAGGTTAGGTCTCAAATCGTGTTATCTAGCAACAAAACATTTACAGTTGTGCAAGAACAAGGATTCCATTTTTATAACCAAATAACAACAAAATAAAACATTTTATGTGTAAGATAACTTACATCTTTGGACTGCTGGAAAATACTTTTTAATTATGAACATTTTAAAATAAAAGACAGCAGAAGCCCTGACATTACCTCTTTTTCCTCATTTCTTATACTACCTTTTAAAATAAAGCAGGAAATGTGGCCAGCAGCTGGTCCCGTCTCTTCTGCCCCAACAGCTGTATCCACTTTAGCACAAAGAAAAACAAGGATGCTAAATATGTATATACTTTATCAAACAGTGATGTTTCACAAAGAATTTCTTAATGCCTCTTACACTGAAGGACACAGTAACTCAATCTATACAATCAGACAATGGATAATACAGTACTTCAAGGGAAGAATATGTCCCATCTTTGGAAAAAGTGTCAATCGTGTTCTTGAGTAGCTAGAACCACTCAATTTTAAAAATTATTTTTAAATAGGACAAAAGCCTTTGAAATAAGGAGAATAACATTCTTTGTGAAGCCTCACTTTACACGTTTTCATTCACATTTCACAACCTTCAATATCTAATCATACATAAATTTAACCTAAAATTTTAATACAACAAAAGTAAAAGTGTTCAACAATTTATTTATACTCAGTGATTCGGTAATCACTGTGCTGGTCCTCAAAGAAACATTTCATTAACCATTCTTATTCCTCCTTCAATTAATTAACACAGATATGCAGGTTAATTTCCAACTTCTCTAATGGTGAGATATTAAAATCTTTTACTCTGAATAGATTGTATTTCTAGATCTCCTTCTGAAAACTAAATGGCATTCCCAAATATATAAGACATTTCTGTCATCTCCAACAAAATAACTATCATGTTTGTGCAAGCCCCAAATACTTATTGTCAGCCTCTAAAAAGTTGCTCTAAAATTGGAATTCCAATTTGCACCTTGTACAACTCGGAACTTCCATTCAACTTCACCTGTTTCACTGTCTCCAAACTGTATCTCTATTAGCAGCTTTCAGTGTACAGTTGGAACCGATGTCATCCAAGGCCATGTCCACACTGGGGACAGAAGAGCTAGGTACACGCAAGTCTGAACAAGGGGACACATTAACAGCTATTTCAACCAGAAGAAGCATCTTAAATACATTACTGACCAGCACAAGTCTGTTTCCAGGGTGGACAGGGCCCAAATCAGATTTCCCCTCCCACCTTCCAAAAAAGAAAAAAGAAAAGAAAAGAAAGAAAAAAAAAAACCCACACACACACACATATCGAGATGTTGCCCATTAAAGTAGACTAAGCAGCAGAGCATGAGCGTTACGTGAAGAGATGGATCCTTACCAGGTTGTGAGGCGGGAACGACTGTTCTGTAACCCCTACAACGGAGCCTGGCAGGAAGGAAATCACCTAAAAAAGAAACTGTCAGAGAGATTTAATAGTCACATGTTATCATTAGGAGTTGGTTACAGTGTCACATTCATGCTTTTAGCTAAACACTTAAAGATTCAATATTACTTTTTTTCCTCCTCTGAAATGTGTCCAGTGAAGATGTCCCACTAAGGTGTTTTACATGGTGTAAGGGAGCTGAAAGGGGTAAACGCGGATAAAGAGCAGATTACTTGACCCTACATTTTAAGAGAAGACGACGCCTTCCGGGCGCACGCCGAGCAGAACTCCACCGACACCTTATCCTTGTCCACATGAAGACACACTCCTCCCGCCGAGTCGTCCTCTTCCAGCAGGTCCTGCTGCTGCTTTCCCACGGGCAGAGCGTAGTCATGGTCACCGGCGGGCGAGTCTCTGAAGAGCGAGGTGGTCAGCCGCAGTCCCACGCCGCTCAGCCGGCTCAGCAAGCGAGCCAGTCCGGTCTCGTTGGCTAAGACGGCCCGTAGGTAGCGACTCTCCTCCTGCAGTGCCTGCACGCGCTTGCCCAGCTCCCGATTCTCGGCACGCAGCTCCTGGTTCTCGGCGGCCAGACCCCGGACTCGACTTTCCAGCCCCATCACGTACTCCTTCTTCTTCAACCGATTGAGACGGGCAGCAGCCGCCGCCGCCTTCCGGGGGCTCTTTGTCGCCGCCTGGTTGCTGTCGTCGCCGCTGCTGCCCGCGCCTCCTCCTGGGGACTTTCTCCGCCTCTTTTCGCCGCTGCCACTGTCACTGCCGCTGCTGCAGCCTCCGATGCCGTTTAAGAGCCTCTGCAGCAGATCAGAGAAGCGCTGCATCTCGGCCGCCGCGGCCTCGTCGTCGTCGTCCCCTCTCCACAGGCCGCCGCTATCCGAGCCTCCGCCGGACGAGGAGAGAGGCCCGGGCGAGCTGAGCCCGGGCTCCAGGTGCCAGTCTGGTTGCCGGGGGTCCAAAAGATCCGCCAGTTCCAGCCCGGACAGAAAGTCCATGTCCTCCGTCTCCTCCCCGGGGACGCTGGCGATCGCCTCCTCCTCCATCTCCTCGGGCGAGGGCGCGCGCACGGCCACGCCGCCGCGGCCCCCCCTCCCGGCCTCCAACTTGCCCTCGTCGCCGCGCGGCTGCTTGCGGCCGGGAGATCCGGCCGCCGCCGTCTCTTCCTCCTCCGCCGCCGCCCGGGTCAGGTCCGGGAGCAGCAAGCAGGTCGCGGTCGGCGCCGGGCTCTCGCTGCGGGTTGGGGAGTCGCTGCCCGAGGCCGCCAGCAGTTTGGTCAGGCTATGCCTCATGGGGCCCAGCGGCGGGCCCACGTAGGCCCCGGCCCCTCAGACCGGGCCTCGCGGGCCCCAAGGACCCCAGACCCCAGCGCGGGAGGGCCAGGAAGCTGGCCACAGCGAAACGAAGGGGAAGATCCGAGTCGCTCCCGCGCCACTTGGCTGGTCGACCCCCCGCGCAGGGGCGGGGGGTGGGGGGGAGGGATGGGAGATCGAAGCGGCGAGGCCCAACGATGACTCGACCGCGCCACCCAGACAACGGCCTGGCCGGAAGTCAGTCGATCTCACCCCAGCCCCTCCCACGGCGTTTCGCGCTCCACTGGGCTCTAGTATCGCGAGAGTTCAGTAAGGTCTGGAGTGGGAGTAATTTCAGATTTCCACTGATGTCATAGTAACAGCGGCAAAAATAACAAAACCCGAATTTATTGATAAGTGGTCTACTCTCTCCTCCCTCACTTCTCAGTCCTCCATATTCTAACTTCCAGTGACACGACTCTTTCAGAAATGATCTTTTAAATACCAAATTTATGAAAAGTCTTAACGTTATCTAGCGTTTCCATGGAATTTTAAGACCGGTGATCAGATACCGCTTGAATCCTTTCCCCTTCCGTTGTAATACAAGATCATTTCATTCAAGCACAGAGTACTAGGGGAAAAAAAGTAAATAAGTCATTCATATAATTTAATTTCCAAGTTTTAATTATACCAATTTTATTAAAATGTCTAGGCCATTTCTATGCCTTTTCTAAACAACAAATGAAGATCTTGTCCTTGTGTGTAATAAGATTGCAAACCCATTTTCTGTGTGTATTCTGTAGTTGGCGTAATTGTGAGCATGTGTGGGTGTGCATACGCGCGCCAGTGTTTCTGTGCTCATGGCTTGAGCGATGGTTGTACCCCCCGCTGTGTGAACAGAGTGAAACGTGTTTGTGACTTTTTTCCTCTTTGTTTTATCGGGGGGGGGGGGGTGTTCATGAAACTGACAGATGTTTTTCTTAAAAAGGACTATTACCAGTTTCCAAAGACAATACTTTTCCGGTTTTTCCTGACTGAGCCCAGTTTTGTTGCTGTTTTTCATCTATCAGGATAAAAAGAGTACCTTTAAAATCCCTGTGGCCAACTTAAATACCCTTGTATTCTTTCTCTGTTCATTGTATTGACAATTTTATGACTGGAGTTAAATGTATAGGTTTGATAACCACAGGTTTTTTGTTGTTGTTTTTTTATGCCTTGTTTATTCCGGCCAATATTTTAGGATCACATTTTCTTTGATATCAACTTTACTTTATATCATAAAAGAAATTCTAATTTTAAAAAAGATATTGAAATGGACTACATTATAGAGGCAAACTCTTCTTGGAACTCTGGGGTTTCAACTAAATTTCTGCCCAAGTTCTTCAGGAATTTCAAAACTTTTTTCCCTTTCAAGGCTACATACGCATTCAGTTTTGTGACAACGCTGTGATCTCCCTCCATAATGAAAGATAAAGATACATCTGTGTCAGGTAGAGTATGTAATTCCCTAAAATGGTTTTAACGTAAGGTTCATTGATTCACTTCACAAATGATACCTGAAGCGTAATTTCTGAATTTAACCACAATTATTATGTTACAATTTCTAATGGCTTGCCTAAGAAAATAGCCATTTGAGAAAAATACATTAGGAAATGTAAATGCAGAATATGAAACCTAGGATAATGATTCCCAAAATCAGGTGAATGAAAATGCTATTCAGGGAGCAAATAAATACGTAAATTACCCAGAAATTGGTCTGTAGGTCTGTGTAACATTGGAAATCAAAATCCTAGCAAACACCTCTAGTGGTTCTAGTGAGGACTGGACCATAATAATAGGGTCTCTAAATTTAATCTCCATAGAAAATTAATGCATCAGTATCATTTTTTAGAAGCTTTACTGCATAAGAAATTGCTTCACTAAAATATTTTAATATTATTTATAACCACAGTTTTATATCCTTTATCTTTGCATAATAAATATATATCAATTTTTAAAGTTTCCAAATATTTCACAGATTATATGAAAGAATAGTAAAGTATCCACTCTAATTCAACAATACTACCCAATATCCAGACTCAACATTTCAACAATTATCATTTGCAATATGTGCTTTATCTGTTTATAAATGTTTGTAAAACATATATTTGGTAAGTCATCCCAAAGTTGCAGACACCCCAACACACTTAAGTATGTATCTCTAAGAATAAGAACATTCTCTTTCATAATCATAATACTATTATTAGGCCTTGAGAAAATTAACAATTACTTGTTAATATTATCTACTTTCCATGCCATCTTCAAATTTCCTCAGCTTTCCTCAAAATAATCTTTTATAATGGATACTTTCTTTTGAGCCAGGATCCAAACAAAGGTCACTTGCTATACCTGGTTATGTTTTGTGAAATTTTTTTCCCATTTCTCAAACTCAAATAATAATCCCTCCCATTTTTTATCTTTTCTTAGTATTGGCATTTTGAAGAGACAAGGTCATGTGTCTTAAAAAAAATACACCACATTCTGGATATGTCTGTTTCTTCATGGTGTATCTTGTTCTCTAACCCCACAAGGTATTTGAGATTTGATGCGCTTGACAAGTACATTAGAATACAGTGAAACAAAAAAAATTTTTCAAAAAATTTAAAAACAAGGCCGGTGAAATTGTAGAGGAAATAGGAAGATAAGGAGTTCCAAAAGGGGAGAAAGTTTGATTGCAATAAGATAGACATACAATCTTACAGTTAACTCAAATTGAGCTAACAGTAGACTAAGCTTCCCCAGCAAATCAAAAGGAAAAAACTTTTCTTGTTTGCCCATGAGTAAACTTTATATGAATTCCTTTATCCACTTTTCCCAGTGTTTAGGTCTTAAGGAAATTCCCTTTGGATTACTGAATTAGTTAGCAAATAGCCTCAATAAATAACTACTTTTATATGGTTGTTTCTTACAGGGATAGAAAGCAAGTTCCAGGTTGTTTCTTACAGGGATAGAAAGCAAGTTGGATGCTAATAAATCCCAAATATGTAGAACAGTACCTGCCACAGTTAAGATTTCAATAAATAAATATGTGTTGAATGTAATAATAAAGAAGGTCTCCAGTTTCATAAATGAAGAAGGTCTCCAGTTCCAGCTGAAGGCATAAAACAAAACTAAGTGCAAACAATTCTGCAAGGAACTGAAATAAATATGACCTATGGTATCTAGAAGAATAAAGAAAGACGGAACCTGCATGCCTTTCTTAACTCTCCTATTAGGAAAGGTTTTGCTGCAGCAGATCAGCCAACAGTGCGAGGTGCTACGTACTCTGGCCTGCCGTGGGTTACAGGCGTTCATGTGGCTGGTAATCCCATTCAACTGCATTTTCTCCTTAGGCAAATCTCCTAGATTCTCAAGATCATGGATAGATTTCTTATTAGAAATATAGATTATTTTTTCTCTAAATTACAAGATTTTGGTTTAAATACACGTGTTTTAGGAGGCTCTCTAGTTGGATTAAAAGTAGAGAACTGAAAGAGAAGTTTTTATAATGTAGCCTCAGAAGACAAAAAAGCAACTAAAGCAAGAGTAAGCCTCCTAGAAAATGCACCTTCTCCCCTTCACTATCACTCCCTTTTCTTCTATTCATTCTTCTCACTCTGTCTTTCTTTACAGCTGTTTTGTTTTTCTTTTTCTGGTTATAACGATTATTGTAAAAGATTCAGATAGTGTAGAAATGTATAAATAAGTAGAAGAATATTACAACCTGTCCAACCTAACTACTCAAAAATAACTGTTACTAAAATTTGGGTGTATAATAGTTTTTCTATGTACAGACACATGTTGTTTTTATTTTATTTCCTTGAACTGTTTTGCCATGAATATATTGTGGACATCATTCAGACAATTAGTACAGACCCACATGCTTATTTCTTTTTTAAAAAAGTTTTTTTAATGTTTAATTTTGAGAGAGAGAGACAGATTGAGAGTGGGGAGGGACAGAGAGAGAGGGACACAGAATCAGAAGCAGGCTCCAGGCTCTGAACTGTCAGCACAGAGCCCGATGTAGGGCTTGAACCCACAAACTGTGAGATCATGACCTGAGCTGAAGTCAGACGCTTAGCTGACTGAGCCACCCAGGTGCCCGCCACATGCTTATTTCTGAGGACTGTCTAAAATGCCATTACATGAACTTTCCAACTCATTCAACCAGTTCTTCATTGATAACGCTTAGGTTGCAGTGACTTTTTCACTATCATAAACCACATGATAATATTATGCAAATATCTTTGGTCACTTATCCTAGAACATTCTTAGGATAAATTCTTCAAAGCAGAAGTTTTAGATACTATTTTTATACAGAGATGTTTATTACCTACAGAAAGGTATCTCTCAACAACGGTGTGCGACAGTATTTAGTCCTATGCACTCAATGACCGTGGATTTGTTCTTGTTAAAATGTGCGAATCCATAAATAAAAAGTGGCATCTTTTGGGTGAATTTCTGTTTCTTTGATTATTAGAGGGTTGAATGTTTTTCACATGACCACTTGACATGTGATGTGAACAACCTGTTCACCTCTAAGCCCATTTTTCTTTGCAGTGGGAAAAAGTATTTGTCTTTTTCTTCTTGATTTATATGAACTCTTTACATTACAAGCAAAATGTACCTTTGTTTCTTCTGTATGTCCCCATTTTGTTCCTCAGTTGAACATACATTTGGGGAGAGAAAAGTGAAATTGCTTGTTTTGCTATAATTTTTAAATAGTATATTGAAGTGTTCTTCATGTTTTCTGGCTTTGGTGTTAAGCCTAAAAAGGCTTTATTAGCCTAAGTAATACTCGTGTTTACCTATATGTTTCAGAACTTCGTAATTACCTCTATTCACATTTTACTAAGAGTTCTTTTAACAATATGATTATTTATTTCATTTACTTCCAAATGGAATTTATTCTTGTATAGAATATGACATAGGAATATAATTCTTCAAAAAGTTATTTGCCACAGTATACTTTATTGAACGATTCAGACTTGTTCCTCTGATTTCCCGGTATACATGCCACATTAAATTCTTATGTATTGTTAGATCTATCTCTGGTCTTTTTCTTCAGTTCCATTTGTCAGTCTAACCATTCTGAGAGCAAAACCACTCAATTTTTAAAAATGTTTATTTATTTTGAGATAGAGTGTGAGTGGGGGGAGGGACAGAGAGAGGGAGAGAGAGAATCCCAAGTAGGCTGTAGGCTGTTAGCATGGAGATCATCAAGGAGCTCGATCGCCAAAA